CTAATTTGTATGCTTTTTATTTATTTTTTCTTATTTGATTGCTATGGCCAGGACTTTTACTATATGTGTTGAATGAAAGTGGTGAAAGCGGACATCCCTGTCTTATGCCTGATCTTAAGGAAAATGCTTTTAGCTTTTCGCCATTGGGTATGATGCTAGCTGTGGATTTGTCATATATGGCCTTTATTATGTTCTGGTGTGTTTTCTCTATTCTCATTTTGCTGAGATTTTTAAATTATAAATGGATGCTGGATTTCGTCAAATGCTTTTTCTGCATCTATTTATATGATCATATGACTTTTATCTTTCTTTTTGGTGTATCATATTAATAGATTGCAGATATTGAACCAATCTTGCATCCCAGGAATAAATCCCGCTTGATCATGGTATATGGTTATTTTAATGTATTGCTGAATATGGTTTGCTAACGTTTTGTTAAGGATTTTTGCATCTATATTTATCAGGGATATTGGTCAGTAATTTTCTTTTTTGTAATGTGTTTGTCAGCTTTCGGAATCAGGGTAATTTGGCCTCACAAAATGATCTTGGAATGCTTTCCTCCTCTTGAATTTTTTGGAGTAGTTTGAGAAGGTTACACATTAATTCTTTAAATATTTGGTAAAATTCGCCTGTGAAGACATTTGGTCTAGGACTTTTGTTTGTTGGGAGTTTTTGATTACTGTTTCGGTTTTGTTTGTATATGTTGGTCTGTTCGGATTTCCTGTTTCTTCTAGACTCAGTCTTGGAAGATCGTATGTTTTAGGAATTAGTCCATTTCTTCTAGGTTGTCCAATTTGTTGGCATATAATTGTTGGTAGTATTCTTTTATAATCCTTTGTATTCCTGTGGTATCGGTTGTCACTTCCACTCTTTCATTTCTGATTTTGTTTAGGTCTTCTCTTTTTTTCTTGATGAGTCTGGTTAAAGGTGTATCAATTCTGTTTATCTTTTCAAAGAAACAGCTCTTGGTCATTGGATATTGTTTTTCTAGACACTATTTTGTTTATTTCTACTCTGATCTTTATTGTTGCCTACCTTTTACAGACTTTGGGCTTTGTTTGTTCTTTTTTTCTAGTTCCTTTTGACGTGTGGTTAAATTGTTTATTGAGATTTTTCTTATTACTTAAGATAGGCCTGTATTGCTGTGAATTTACCTCTTAGAACTGCTTTGGCTGTGTCTCATAGGTTTTGGGTTATTGTGTTTTCATTTTATTTTGTCTCAAGGTATCTTTTGATTTATTCCTTGATCTCTCTGTTAACCCAGTCATTGCTTAGTATAGCATGTTACTTAACCTCCATGTGTTTGTGTGTTTTTAAATTTTCTTCTTGTAATTGATTTTTACTTTCATATCACTGTGATCAGAGAAGATGTTTGATATGATTTTATTCTTCTTAAGTTTGTTGAGACTTGTTTTGTGGCCTAACATGCTGTCAATCCTGGAAAATGTTTCATGTGCCTAAGCCTCTGATTCTTGTCTGGGTGATTTGACTATTATCTTGAAAATAGATCTAAGTAGTAGAGGAAGAAACCTATTAATAGTGTAGTATTAGGTTACGTAATGCTGCTTTATATAGCAGCATTTGCCAGGTGGAAAAGTAATGCCACCCTGTTCATTTCTGTGGGCAAAGAGTCCATTTCAACTTCTTATAGGAACATTGTTTTTATTATTCTGAACAATGGCATTCTAGTTATCAGAAACTGAGTATTACCTGTATAAGAAGTTACATAGTTGTATTTTTCTGAGTAATTATGTTTTCCCTCCATTGTTCCTCAAATTATATTTGTTCATTATAGAATATTTGCAAATACAAGAAAAGTATGAAAATGACAATATTTTAAATGTTACTCACTCACAGATATTTTACCATTCAGAGGTAAACACTGATATCATTCGTTTGCATGTCAGCAATTCTACTGTTCTGTTCATGCATATATGCACATACACGAAAAAACAGGCACAAACTGGAAGACATAAAATTAGGATCATAATGATTATTCTGTTTTATAACCTGCAATTTTTTCTCTGAGCATTAAATAGTAAACATTTTCTCATGTCACTAAATATTCTTTTATAGCTGCTTTCTAAGTAGCTGCATTGTCTTTTATTTTATGCGTTATACCTATACCAATCCTGTACTACTGAGATTTTAGAATTTTCTTTTTTGCTTTTATAAATAGCACCATGATAAAAATACTTCTGGATTAATATTTTGCCTACCTTTATTTATTTTTTAAAATAAATTCCCAGAAGTAAAATTAAATAAACAGGTACGAACATTTTGAAAAGCTTTTGGTACGTATGTGCCAAATTATCCTTCAGAAAGACTGTGCAAGTTTATAAAAGAAAATTCTTTTCCATCCCACTTATTCTAGTTCGGGGTTGAGGGTAGCCAGAGCCTGTCCTGGCGGCTCAGGGCACAAGGTGGACACCCACCCTGGATAGGACACTCTTCCGTCTCAGAGAACACTCACACCCACACCTATACTCATTCAGACTGGGACAATTGAAACACGCCAGTTCACCTAATGTGCTTGTCTCTGGGGTCTGGAGAAAAACTGAGGACTCAGAGAAAACCCACACAGGCATGGGGAGATCATGCAGTCTCCACACAGACAGTTGCCGGGGTGGGGAACTGAATTTTTTTTCTAATCAATGTTATAACAAAATAACTTTATTTGAGGACCTGCTATACTTTTTTCTCCAGTGGATTTTTCTGTTTTCTATGTTTTGCCAAGTTTTACCAAGGAAAAACTAAACTTAAAAAAAAAAAAACCTTTTAAATGGACTACTTAACTTTATCTGGAGTTTGTTTCTGAATGTAAGATCTATATGGTAAATTCCCTTACTTAAATCCCAGGTGATAAAAACTTATCCTGTAAATTAGTTGTAAAGCAGTCAGTCTTATGATATATATATAACCAGATAACTTCAGATAGCTTGTTTCTAGGGTTTTATTTATGACATGCTAGAAGTTTCTTGAAGGAAAGTGTAGCTATAGTGAACATTTCCATTTAGGTCTACTCCATAGTATAGTTAAACACAACAGCAATTGACATTTTTACTGGGCAGTGTGCAAACACTGAGAGAAGTTGTACCCATGCCAATAAGGAAGATAATAACAAATCGACTATTGAGTAGAGTTGCATTTCTTACAACAAAGTATTTGAATAACTGTCCAATCCTTTTTCCCATGGATGGAGATAAGAGCCATTTATTGTTTTGGGGTTATCATTTATATTTAAACATGGTATGAATGGAATTTAGGAAATTCACTTGAGGTAATGAAACTAACATTGATGTGTGTGTATTATATGTAGTTTTGTGTATATGTTGGAGAGGACAGGTGATGACAAAAGTAATGACAAAATCATAATATTGAGAGAAATATTTAAGATAAATTAAATCTTTTTTTGTCATAAATTGCTGTCTGATCCAGTAGTGATAAAGGGCATGTAAAAAAGACTATAAGGTTACTTTCAAAACAAATATTTACCAAGTTCCAGGAAATGAATGTGTCTGTATACTTGGCAATTGCACAAGGCTTTTAAAAAATCTGTTTATCAAGCAATTGACTGTTCAGGTCATTTTGGTTGCATTAAGAGCACTTGATGTGCAATTTCCTTATGCTTTCAGAAGCATATGATACATGGTCACCTATTTGTCACTGACTAGCATTATGAAGAGTTGGAATGGGGACAGTGTACTAACATGAAAGGTTGATGGGACATTCAGTTTTTGTAATTTGAAATCTTCTAAATACATTAGAGGTGCTCCTTATTTAAAGGAACCCTACAAACCATAATTTTGTTAAGTGAGGAATTTACAACACATAATTACCATTGGTTTATTCTTGCAAATCTGAATACAGCTTCACAGTTTTTGAGGCTTATGGTAGTCTCTCACTGACCAATTTGATTATGAGCAAGAAATGTGCTTCCTTTTGCCATCTTAGAAAAAAAATAACACAAAAGTCTTGGGTAGCAAATAAGAGTGCCATGAAGTGGAGTTTAGTGATAATCAAATAATGTGGAAATAATTTTTTTTTCTTTAAAATATCTACCCTTTGGCATTGTGGTTAGTAGTCTTGATCCTCAGAGAAACAGAATACATTCTTTTCTTTCTCCACTAAAATAATGCCTCACTCCTACTTTTTCTTTTCTTCCTTTAAAAATGATGTAAGATACTTTCTCTGAATTCATGAATTTTTTTGTAGAACACCTGGTTATTTGCTTTTAAAATTCATAGAAGAAACAAATAGATACATATTTAAATATCCATATAAATTAAACCTGAAGTGGCTAGGCTTTTCCATTTTTAATGTTTGAATCAAAAGCTTCTTATAAATGGAAATTTAAAAAATTTTGAAACTATTGGAAAATCCTTAAAATGGTTGTTGGTTAAATGCAGTATTTTAAGTATATTATGTACATAAATATAAGACATATTTAAGTATATTAAGCATGCTAAGTAAGTACTGATTTTATTTTAAAGCCTAACAGTAACATAGTATATCTTTTCTCATTTAAAAAACTAAACTAGTAAAAAATTTTTAAAAGAATTTTGAAAACATTAAATGCATTAAGGAATTATAGCAACACTTTTATACTAGATATACAGAATTAATTTTTCAGTTTTATAAAGTGATTAGAGTTAGAGCAGATTATTTTTACATTTAGAATTAATTCAGCAATATCTAAAAAATTAATTGAATATATTGTGTTACATTTACCTAAGATTTCTGATTTAACAAATTAAATGCACATTTCTCTTTTTAAAAAATTAATTGAACATATTCATAAACCTACTGTTCCCTTTATTGGAGAATTTTAAATAAAGTTCATTACTTTTTTAATACTTTTGAATTTAAAATGTACTTGAAGTGGTTTATTTATCCTTGGCCAGTTACCCCTTGAGACTCAATTTTATAAAGCTGATTTAAATGATCACTTAAACATGAATTACTGTTACTGGTTATCTTCTATTTACATTATCTTGAAGGTCAGTATAATGCAGCACTGACCATGATGACTGGGTCCCACTGAGATGAAGAAAGAGGGAGGACATTCAGAAATGGCCCCAGCTTGCAGCAGAGCAGAGGTATGATTTGAGTAGATAGAAAGCTGTTTTTCTGGAATGAATTGGCGGAAGTAAAAAGAAGTTATTAGTGTTATTACATTATCAGATTCTTCCTAATCTGTATGATTTTCAATATAGACATTTAAGAAAATTTTAAATTTTGTAGAAAGCTGAAGACATTTTGATTAAATATGAAACATAGTGAAAATTACAATTATTTGGTTACGTTTTTTCCTGTCAAATATTATGTGAATAAATAAAAGATTATTAGCTTTAAAAATATATATCTATTGAACATGTACAATGTAATTATGAAAATTCTGATATGTTTTTGCTTGAAAACCGTGTGCTTCAAAATCTGGCACCATCTTTTATGAGATTCAAAAGTCTTCTTTCTGTTGTGTTGTTTATTTAATTTATGAGGCTTTTCTCAAAACTGAACTAGTATTAGATGGTTCCTCAAAACAGTGACAAATAAAAGAAGATACATAGAAATGTTTGGAAAGGGAGATGAGTTATCCTGGCCTGATACTTTTTATGTTTTCTCTTTCTGCTGTCTTTCTCTGTACATCCATATGTAAAACCCAAAAATTATTCTTAAGGGTTTTGTGGGAACCAAGTAAGACAAGAGGAAATGTTTAAAACTGCTTTCTGACCTCTAATAGTGGTGATGCTGTTTTTGAATACCACTAATAGTTTAAAAGTGCTTATCAGAGCAACTCTTTACTGCCTTAATTTGTGTGTACAGATTGCTGTTGGTGTTGTTACTATCTGTTTTGTATCAAATTTGCTAGCTAATTTCCTTTTTAGCTAAGTGATTTTCTTAATGGCTACCCTTTTGACAAACAAAGAAACCTTAGGTGCTCTGAGAGGAAAAACCAAATTTAAAAAATCATGGTAAAAAAGATAAGGAACATCTGTATTCATGCTGCTGCTATGTTGTTGGTATGGGAGAAAATCTGGTGATTGACCTTGATTCTTGACTGAGGTCACAAAAATATGCATAATTTGGCCTTTATCCATAAAACAAATAGCAACAGTCCCCATTTAAAGCAGGGATTTGATTTCCTTTGTTTTGGGTATGGACAGGGTAATCTTTTTCAACCTTATCATGAGAGGATTTTGTGTTTTCCAGAAATATTTTAGAATCTCCATTTTGACAGGAGCATTTTGTTTGAATGCATATTTTATTAACGAAGGGTTATTAGGAAATCCAAATACCCAACAGCATCAATGAGAGCCCCCATGATCTGGTGAAAGATTTTTGGATTAGGACCCCTGAAAGGGATAGTGGGCATTAATATTGGGGAGCCAGTTTAAGATTTATTTTAAACGAGTTTAGATGGGACCAAGTCAATGAAGACAACACCAGAGTGACTGGAACCTCTTGAGCCAGCAATCTGAGAGCTCCACTGAGCCTTTATGAAGTCAGTCTTCCAGAGTTGCCCTTCACCTATGCTAGGGACCAGGTTTATAGGTGAATAGTCTCGGACTCTTATATACCCATTTGTGCCTCGACAGCCTGTGAATCTGACATAGTACCAAAATGTGTGTTTATTCATCAGATACCATCTTAGAGCTTGGGCAGTGAGATTGGGTATTTGCATTTCCACACAGCAGAAATCCATCTTTTGAAATAAATCAAGAAAATATTATCTTCCTAGTGTTTAAGTAGGAGTCATTTTTTTTCTTGCAAACCTGGTTACAATTCTGCCATCTATCTGTCTATATCTATCTATCTATCTATCTATCTATCTATCTATCTATCTATCTGTCTGTCTGTCTGTCTGTCTGTCTGTCTGTCTGTCTGTCTGTCTGTCTATCTATATCTATCTATCTATCTATCTATCTATCTATCTATCTATCTATCTATCTATCTATCTATCTATTTATTTTTCAAAATAGTCATCACAGAACTTTATTAAAAGCATTAGTTCTCAGTGGTTTTACCTAAAGAGGTAAACCTAAAGAGTAAAACCAGTTTTAATCTTACTCTTCAGATAACAATTGATTCATCCACAGTGTAGAATGTTGTAGATTCCATTGAGAGATGTTCTGCTTGTATTAAGTTTATTGAGGTGACATTGGTTAATAAAATTAGATAAATTTCAAATGTACAATTCAATAATACATCATCTGTATATTGCTTTGTGTGTTCACCACCCACCTAAAGTCAAATCTCCTTCTCTCACCATATATTTGACCCCTTTTACAAACCTTTTCTACCTCCTCCCCACCCCTCTTTCTCTCTGGTAATCATTAAACTGTTGTCTGTGTCTATGAGTTTTTGTCTGTCTTATTTGTTTGTTGCTCTCGGTTTTATGTCCCACATATGAATGAAATCATATGATTCTTGACTTTTTCCATCTGACTTATTTTGCTTAGCATAATATTCTCAAGATCCATCCATGTTGTTGCAAAAGGTAGTATTTTATCTTTTCTTATAGCTGAGTAATATTCCATTTTATATATGTACCACATCTTCTTTATCTAATCATCTATTGAAGGATACTTCAGTCGTTTCCATGTCTTGGCCACCATGAATAATGCTGCAATGAACATATGGGTACATATATTTTTACAGATAAATGTTTTTACATTTTTGAGATATAGATATTCAGAAGAGAGATTGCTGGATCGTATGGTAATTCTATTCTTAATTTTTTTGAGGAGTATAAGGGTCATTCTAACAAGTGCGAGTGAGGTGATAGCTCATTGTAGTTTTGATTTTCATTTCCCTAGTAGCTAGTGAAGTTGAGCATCTTTTCATAGGTGACCATTTGTATGTCTCCTTGGGAGAAATATCTGTTCAGGACCTCTGCTCATTTTTTAATTGGGTTGTTTGTGTTTTTGTTGTTGAGTTGTATATTTTGGATATTAGCCTCTTATCAGAAGTGTTATTTGCAAATATCTTCTCCCCTTTGGTTAGTTGTCTCTTTGTTTCGTTGATGGTTTCTTTTGCTGTGCAGAAGCCTTTTATTTGATATAGTCCCATTCATTTATTTTTACTTTTACTTCCCTTTGCTTTGGGGTCAAGTTTATAATATCCTCTCTAAGACTGAGGTCCATAAATTTAGTACCTATGTTTTCTTCTATACATTTTATTGTTTCAGATCTTATATTTATTTCTTTGATCCATTTTGAGTTAATTTTTATGTATGTTGACCTATAGCAGTCTAGTTTGATTCTTTTGCATGTGGCTTTCCAATTTCAATAAATGGTTTATTGAAGAGGCTTTTTTTCCTCCATTGTATGCTTTTGGCTCCTTTCTCGAAAATTATTTACTCATATAAATGTGAGTTTATTTCTGGGTTCTTAATTCTGTTGCATTGGTCTGTGTGTCTGTTTTTTTGCTAATATTATGGTGTTTTGACTATTGTTGCTTTGTAGTATAATTTGAAATCAGGGAGTGTAAAACCTCCAGCCTTGTTCTCAAGATTGCTTTGGCTATTCGGGGTCTTTTGTGGTTCTATATAAATCTGATGATTTTTTTGTTCTATGTCTTTAAAAAATGCCATTGATATTTTGATCGAGATTGCATAAAATCTGTATATGCTTTGGGTAACATATGTTACCTCTTTATTTTTGTTTATTAAGCACACCACAGTCAGACAAGATTAGAGAAAACAGTGAAAGAGAAAGTATTTGTCTCTATTCCATCCTTTCATTTGATTCTCCTTGTACTTTCACCTCCTTCATTTTCTTTCCCTTGGTCGCACATCACATTCAGGACCTCTATAACCTGTAAGTTTCCCTGATTGCAGTTTAGCCACCTGCTGTCTTTATAACTATGAACAAGTTACTTAACCTCTTTGTGCCTTTATTTTCTTACTTATAAAATGACAATAGACTATTACCTACATCATAAAGTCATTATGAGGATTAAATGAATTAAGATATAGTACCTGATTGTACAAAGTACTGAGTGACCAGTTATGAAATAATTGCTAATAGAACCTATTAATAGGGTAATGGTAGGAGCCATACACTTCATTGCCAAGTGTGAAATGTTAAACAAGACAGAATTATGAATTCTTTATGTGCAGCAGCACAGAAGCTGGCGTTTTGCTTTTTCTGTGTCAATCCACCTGTAGAATGTCTTAAAGATACAAACGACTGTTGGATCATTCCTCAGAAGACTATTGGTTGGTAAGAGAATGTCCTGAGACTCCTAGGAATCATATTGAATTTGTTGTTTTTATTGGAAAGGGAGACGGTAAGCACATAGCGTAGAGGTGGTTGGTTATTTTATGTATTCATTTCTCTCACAGTAAACATGGAGCTTTCTTTATCCAATGTGAATGTTCTAGATTATGTGGCCATTATAAATCTTATTTTGAAATTAATTTCTGGCATGGTAAGTATATTTCTTTTTGAAGCATCACATTTTTAAACATTTAGAGTATAACCTCACTCATTTGAGAATACTGTATACAAAATAATTTTAAAGCACTTTTTTGATTGTGTATTTTCAGAAGGTAGCTAATGGCTTTTGACCTGCTATACTAGCATATAGAACTGAATGTCAGGCAGAATATTTTTTAAAAACTGCATTTTCACCTTGTTTAATCAAGCACAGTAATTCTTTTTGAGATCGCATTGCATATTTTCCCAAGCGGTTATTGATAAAGATATGTCAATTTGGTAGGAGAAAGAAGAGAAAATTATAATATTATAGCATTTAGGTCTTAAGAATATTTAAATATATCCAGATTGGTAAGTACAAATATTTTAATAAATAATATCATATCTGATATAATTACATGTGAAAAGCCATTTAAAGTACATAGTATCAGCCTTACATCTTCCCCATGTCTTTGGGCCATTGTTATAAAAAAAATCACATATTTTAATTCACACACTTTTCTTCTTAATTTCTATTTTCTCTTGAAATTTATACAGTATATTTCACGGCCTATTTTCACAGAGTTTTTAAGAATTATACATATTAAACAATAATTCTCAAATTTTGTGCAAAAATAGACCATGATATACACTGTATAAATGATAGAGATTGCTCA